CGGGTCCGGGACGCGAACCGCGGTCGACTACGTGGGAGTCCAGCGACATAGCCATTACGCTAACTGCTGGTTCCCTAAAATAATTCTTTTTAAAAAAGGAAATTTTGTAGATTTCAAGCATCATAGCGAAACAAGTTATAAAGTCTGGTCTTTTTTTTTTTAAGCATTTTTTTGGGACTAACAGGTGGCATGGTGGTTAGGATCGTGGAACTCCCACGTGGCTGACCACAGTTTTTGAGTCCTGGACCTGGTGGCTTGCTTTCTCACTTTCTTTCTCTGTGTGTCTTGGTCTGGTCAAATTGAAAATAACAATAATGATAAATAAAGTAAAGGAAATAGTAGGGGCTGACAGGTGGCGTGGTGGTTAAGGGAGCTGGATTCCCACATGACCAACTGTGTTTCAAGTCCCAGACCTGGAGGCTTGCTTTCTCGCTTTCTCTCTCTCTTTCTTCTCCATCTCTCTCTGGTCAAATTAAAAATGATAATAACAAAGTTAAATAATAAAAAGTAATTCTTTCCCCCCAAAAAGAAAATAATTCTTTTTTTTTTTTTTTTTGAGAGGTTTTTGCTATAGGACGCGTGCACTCGCCAGAAAGACAGAGACAGAGAGACAGAAAGGGAGAAATCACCCCCCAGGGGGGATGGCCACGCTGCATTCCCTTCTCCTACATTCTCAGGATCTTGGGCATGCACGCACATGTGCCCGGTGCGAGTTTAAGCCGCTGGGTCCGCGACTAGAACCACGGTCGACTACATGGGAGTCCAACAACATAGCCATTATGCTAACTGCTGGTCCCAGAAATAATTCTTTTAAAAAATGTGATTTTTGCCTCAGGGTGCATGTGCTCACTGTGCAGAGAGACAGAAACAGAAGGAAAGTGAAGAATCACCCTCCAGGGGAATGGCCATGCTGCAATCCCTTCTCTTCCATTCCCTCCTGAGATCTTGGGTGCGCACACACACACACACACACATGCATACCCAGGGTGATTTTGAAGCCACTGGATCTGGGGCTTGAGCCTTGGTTGACTGTGTCGGAGTCCAGTGACAACTGCTACAGCAACTGTTAGCCCTAAGTCAGGGTCTTAAAGAATGGTACTCAAAGAATTATTTATTAGAATAAGCATAGTAATTTGGTGCAATTGAGCTAGTAGAGGTAGAAAATAAAATAATTGAAAATTATAATTGATGTTGGCAGCCTTGTATATGCCATATTACCAAGGCTATGAGAAAGAAGGGTTTTATTTGTAAAACTAAACAGGTCCTAAGAAAATGATTATAAAAATAGGATCTGAGGCTACGAAGAGGTACACTAAAAATCTCCATTACTTTGCTGTGTTTTACATTTAGCAATTTTTCATTCTTCCTTTTCCCATTAATTGTTTTTCCCTTTTTTCTCCACAGACATTCCATACACCAAGCTTGGGTGATGAGGAATTTGAAATCCCACCTATCTCCTTGGATTCTGATCCCTCACTGGCTGTCTCAGATGTGGTTGGCCACTTTGATGACCTGGCAGACCCTTCTTCCTCACAGGATGGCAGTTTTTCAGCCCAGTATGGGGTCCAGACATTGGACATGCCTGTGGGCATGACCCATGGCTTGATGGAACAGGGCGGGGGGCTCCTCAGTGGGGGCTTAACCATGGTAAGGGGCGTGTTAGGGAAAATGAAAACTACTCTGTATTCACAACTACACTTAGGTATTACTTGTTTCTCATTCTTGTGGCTAAAGGTTCATCAACAAAGACTTAATTTTACCTGAATAAAGAGATTCACTCTCTGGATCAATTTTACCTGAAAAAATTATTTAAAATTGCCAGTGTTAACCTAAAATGAAAATGATTAGGACTTTTAAAAAACAAATTTTTGCCTTTTTTATTATGTCTTTCACATTCTAGGATTTACAAGTTAGTGTGAAAACTGGCACATTGAGGGATTTATTAAAAATTATCTAAACTAAACATAAACATAATAATTAATGAAAACTGAGATAGTAAAGGTAGAAAAGAGGTAATAGAATTGAAAAGTGTGTCAATGTTGGCAGCCTTATATATGCCACATGACTAGATCATAGGTGTTATAAATCAGTATGCTGGGCATCCAGCACTTCTCCTGAGTAGTATATTTCCACACTGTTTATGCCAATATCTCCTACATTGTTCCTGTTTACTTTAAGTGCCCGTGTATTGTAACTTTAAAAGCCATTATTATGGGAAGGTATAGGCAAGTTTTTATTGATCTCATTAGTCACCACTACTACTTACTAAGTTAATTGCTTTTTAAGTAAACTTGTCCAAAATTAAAATTTAACCTGATTTTTTTTTTTTTCAGTTATTTCAGGGTAGGCCTTTGAGCACAAAGAAGCAGATTTACTGATTTTTGTACTTCTTAGTAAAGGTTAATATGTTTTATATGTAGACAAAATATTTCATGTATTACAGTTTTAAAATGTCACAATGTGGGTAAGCAGGGAGTTTATAAGCTGTCCTGAATTTGGGGAAAGGGAACGGAGTGGTGTTTTTTATATTAAGTTTAAGTAGTTCTTCTCCTTCTCTTAGGACTTGGACCATTCTATAGGGACTCAGTATAGTGCCAACCCACCTGTTACAATCGATGTACCAATGACAGACATGACATCCGGCTTGATGGGGCATAGCCAGTTGACCACCATTGATCAGTCAGAACTGAGTTCTCAACTTGGTTTGAGCTTAGGGGGTGGCACCATCCTGCCACCTGCCCAGTCGCCTGAAGATCGTCTTTCAACCACCCCCTCACCTACTAGTTCACTTCATGAGGATGGTGTTGAGGAGTTCCGGAGGGTGAGGCATTCCCTGCCAAAATCAATTTTGCCATGTTACTCCAGGATGAAACTCTGAGCACACAGATCCTAATTGGAATTCTTTACTCTTGCCCTGCCATCTCTTCTGCTTTTGTCTCTGTATAGGGTCACACCTCTTAATTTCCAGTTTGTAATGCTCCTCCCAATCCCCATTCTTATTGGTCTTCACATATTTTACTAATGGCCTTTTGTCCTATTACCTCAACTTGTAGCATTTCTGAAAATGCCACGAGTGTGACTAGTTTACCCCATATGAAAGTTCTTTTATTGGGACCAGCAGATGGCATAATGGTTACATTGCTGGACTCCCATATAGTTGACCGGGGTTCAAGTCCTGAACCCGGCAGCTTAAAACTCATTCCAGGTGTGTGAGTGTGCATGTCCAAAATCCTGATAGAAGAATGGAGAAGGGGTTGCGGTGTGGCCATCCCCCCGGGGGGTGATTTCTCTCTTTCTATCTCTCTGTCTTCAATGAACACATGTTCCCTACAGAAAAAATCTCTCTCAAAGAAAAAAAAAAAGTCTTTTATTACAGTTCTTCAGGCACAATGCTTTGCTTCTTCCATCCTGTAATTTTCTCTTTTCTCTCCTACAGCAACTTCCCGCCCAGAAGACAGTGGTGGTGGAAGCAGGGAAAAAGCAGAAGGCCCCAAAGAAGAGAAAAAAGAAAGATCCTAATGAGCCACAGAAACCAGTTTCTGCATATGCTTTATTCTTCCGTGATACCCAGGCTGCCATCAAGGGACAGAATCCCAATGCCACTTTTGGAGAGGTTTCAAAAATTGTGGCCTCCATGTGGGATAGTCTTGGAGAGGAGCAAAAACAGGTGAGGAAATAGCGAGAAACTAGAGGAAAGTGAATATTTCAGGTTTTTAAGTAATGGATAAAAACTAAGATTTACTTTTTTAAAAAATTATTTATTTATCCACTCATTTATTTATTTATTTATTTATTTATTTAATTTGACCAGAGAGAGACACAGAGAGAGAGAGGGAAAGTGAGAAAGCAAGCCACCAGGTCTGGGACTTGAACCGTGGTCGGCCATGTGGGAGTGTCCAGCACCTTAACCACCATGCCACCTGCTGGCCCCTACTTTTTCTCTCTCTTATTTAAATTAAGGTTTCTGTCATAGGACATGTGCATTTACCAGAGAGAGATAGTAGAGGGAAAGTAAAAAATCATTCCCCAGCAGGGATGGCCACTCTGCAGTCCGTTCTTTTGTATTCCCCTCCTGGAATTTGTGTGTATACACACATTCCATGCCTGGCATGTTTTTCAACCCATCAGGTCCAGGACTTGAGCTGTGGTCGACCATGTGGGAATCTAACACCTTAACCACCATGCCACTTGCTCGCCCCCCACCTCTTTTTATTTAAAAAAAAAAAAAAAAGATTTATTTATTATTTTTATTTCACATGAGTTTGGTCAGAGAAAGATGAGAGAGAGAGAAATAAAGCAAGCCACCAGGTCTGAGACTCGAACCATGGTCAGCCATGTGGGAATTCCAGCGCCTTAACCACCACACCACCTGGTAGCCCCTTTTCTAACATTCTTATGTGTCCTTATCTAATATCAGATCTTTGCTTGTGGCATTCACACATCAGCTTTGTCTTATAGTCACAGCCATACACTAATCCAGAAAACCCTTTTTTTAATTAAGAATGATTTATTTTATTTGTTGTTAATTTTTTCTTAATTCACCAGAGAGAGAAAGAGAGAAAGTGAGAAAGCAAGTTGCCAGGTCCAGGACTCAAACCGCTATTGGCTGTGGGAGTCTAGTACCTTAATCATCACGCTACCTGCTGAGCCCCAGAAAACATTTTTTGTTGCCAGGGGAAACATGCACTCACTAGAGAGAAGACAAAGTATCCCCTGTGGGAATGGTCATGCTGCAGTCCCTTCTCTCCCTCTTTTCGAGATGTTGGGCATACATACACGTGAACCTGGTTTTCTCAAGCTGCTGGGTCTGGGACCCAAACCATGTAATCAGCCATGTGAGATCTGACTGCCTTAATCAGCGGGCCATGGAGCTGGCCCCAGAAAACCGATTTTACAATGTTTTTAAGAATATTCTTAAGTGACCGGCAGGTGGCATGTTGATTAAGGTACTGAACTCCCATATGGTCAACCACAGTTCAAGTCCTAGACCTGGCAGTTTGCTTTCTCACTTTCCCTCTTTCTCTCTCTGGTCAAATTAAAATTAATTGGGGAACAACAGGTGGTGTGGTGGTTAAGGTCCTGGACACTCCCACGTAGCTGACCATGGTTTGAGTCTTAGGCCTGGTGGTTTGCATTTTCACTTTCTCTCTCTCTCCCACACACTCTTCTCTGTGTCTCTGGTCAAATTACAGTTAAATGAATGAAAAAATAAAATCATTCTTAAAAAATGAATAAATAAAATTAAATCTTTAAAAAACTGTTTTTAAAGGGATCAGGGCCAGCCTTTGCTAAGGTGTTTTAAGGTGCTAGAATCCCACATGGCTAACCACAGTTCAAGTCCTGGGCATGTTAGCTTGTGAATCACACTGGACTTATGTACATTTTGTACATTATTTTTTCTTTTTTTTTCTTGGAGAGGTTTTAGGCTATAGGGCGTGTGTGCTCACCAGAAAGACAGACAGACAGAAAGTGAGAAATCACCCCCCGGGGGTATGGCCATACTGCAATCCCTTCTCCTCCATCCTCCTCTCGGGATCTTGGGCACACACGCACAGAGTTTAAGCTGCCGTATCTGGGACTTGAACCATAGTCAACTACATGGGAGTCCAGCAACATAGCCATTACACCTATTGTTGGTCCCTGGGCCTATGTACATTCTTGCCCAAAATCCCTAGAGGAGACTAGAGTCCAATGCCTTAACCACTGTGCTGGCCCCAGATAAAATAATTCTAAAAACCAAAAACAAAATACCTGACATGCATGTGTATATACATGTGTGACTGCCCAAAAATCCCAAGTGGAGATATAGAAGAGATTATGGTGTGGCCATTACCCCCAGGGGACTATTTCTCTCTCTCTTTTTCTCTCTTTCTGTCTCTTTTCTAGTGAGCACCCAGGTCCAATAGCAAAGCTAAGTGTGTGTGTATTCAACAATTGAAATTGCAGATGATAATAATTATCATTACACTGGACTCCTGGGTCTTGTATTAAAGTGAGTCTTCTTAATATTTGAAACAAAAAACTGAACTTATTATAATTTGTGTCAGTTACCTATTGCTGCTCAACAAATCACCACTAATTTAATAACTTAAAACATGACAATGTATTGGGACCAGCAGGTGGCATGGTGATTAGGGCATTGGACACTCCCACATGGTTGACCATGGTTTAAGTCCGGGACCTGGTGGCTTGCTTTCTCACTTTCACTCCCTCTCTCTTTCCTTGTCTCTCTCTGGTCAAATGAAAATAAAATGAATGAATAAATAAAATAGAAATTCTTTTTAAAAAATGATAGCGTATTATTTCTCATGAGTCTATGAGTGAGTTGGTTCTTTTTCCTGCTGTTCTTGCCTGGGCTCATTCCTGTGGTTGTAATAAAACAACGACTGCTATGGCTGGTCTAGATAGCCTTGCTTCCATATCTGGCAGTTGATGCTACCTACTGGCAAGGATGCCATCGTTTTCCTTCACTTGGCCTATTCATCCTCCAAGCAGACTAGACTGGCTTCTTTACAGTATAGCACACTTGGAGCCAGCAGGTGGTGTGGTTGAAGTGCTGGACTCCCACATAACTGACTGTGGTTCCAGTTCCAGACCTGATGGCTTGCTTTCTTACTTTCCTCTCTGGTGAGCGCATGTGCCCTGTAGCAAATTGGAAAATAATAATAAATAAAAATAAATCTTTAAAATATATAGCAGACTTAGAGCGAAATTTCAAGAAAGTAAAAACAGGCACCGGCAGTTGGTGTAATGGCTATGTTGCTGGACTCCCATGTAGTCGACCGCGGTTCAAGTCATAT